TCATTGAGCAGGCGAGAAAGACCCGTATTGCGAAGAAGCTCGAAGACTGCCGAGACAAGACCGAGTTCTGGATGCCTGCCTTGCCATACCGCTCAATTGATTATCTCAACTTTAAGGGTTGTGAGGAAGAGGGCCTTTACCGTGTACCCGGTAGTGGCAGGGAGGTCAAGCATTGGCAACGACGATTTGACACAGAACTCGACATCGATCTCTTCGAAATCCCTGATCTTTACGACATTAATACGGTTGGATCTCTCTTCAAAGCTTGGCTTCGTGAGCTTCCGGATGAGCTTTTCCCCAAGGCAACGCAAACGATGATTGCTATGAAGTGCGAAGGCGCCACGACCGCACCGCAACTACTCAAAGACGAGCTCTCCAAGTTGCCACCATACCATTACTATCTCCTTTTCGCCATCACATGCCACCTCAACCTCCTTCACTCATATGTGGACCAGAACAAAATGGACTACCGAAACTTGTGCATCTGCTTCCAGCCCTGCATGAAGATCGACGCATTCTGCTTCCAATTCTTAGTATGTGACTGGAAGAACTGCTGGCAGGGATGCTGGACCGAGAAGGAATACCTTGAGATTGAGAAAAAGATGGACGAGCGCGACCTGCGGGTCTCAGTAGAGCAAGAGGCCGCTAAAGCAAAGGAACGAGCCTCTGCCAGCCATGAACGCGCTATCTCATCTTCCAGCAGCAGCGCTGGGGAAGAACCTCGCCAGCCAGCTCGCCCGGCGACCTCGATCTCACGTCCAGCAACCACTCACCTAGAACCAGCTCGCCCAGCAACCGCTCGAACCCGAAAGGCTCCGCCAAAGAATATCGAGACGGCACATAACCGGAGCATCTCTCAGCTTCCCGAGCTTGGCCCACCGCTCTCTCCTATCAAAATCTAGATCCGACAAACGTCCCTCACACCAAATTGTCCTGGATTAAAAACAGCTTCACATCGTTATCTACCTTTTATGACCTGCTTCCAATCCGGCTGGCCCGATTTCCGTTCTATCTGCAGGACCGGATAGTACTGGACAAGTTGTTCCAGAATGGCATCCCCTTCCTTCGTCACGACCACTTTTTCCTCCCCCCATACCTCTGATACGATACGTCCATCGCCCGCTAGCGGTATGATTGTCGATATCCCCATTGTCATTTGGTCTCAACCGCATATTGAGATCAGATGCCCCATCAATATTCCTCTTCCATGTGTACATCCTTTGCTCTCCTGACACCTACTCCGAAATTGGCGAATGGCGGGCCGTTTCGTTTACTCGTACCATTTTGCTTACCTCGCATTGTTCTTCCCTCTTTTTGCTGCCTCTTGTCTATTTGGAAGCGCAATAAATCTCATTCCATGCTTCGCTTGATATCGCGACATCTCCAGATTCCCCTCTGCGGTTGACATTGATTTCCATCATCGCTATTTGCTTCATGCGTGTTTTTACACTGTTTTGCAATGGGGTTTGTTTACATTTCCATTTCCGTCTTTTTTTGTCTGAAGTATTCATTTGGCGTTTCCTTTCGAGTATTGTACAATAAAGAAAGTGAGAAAGGCACTTTTCGGTTCGAGCAAGATCATTTCTGTTACAATAATCCTCGTAGCCCTAAGGATCAAAGGTTATATCAAAGGCTCTTGCACAGAATATGCTTGTTACGGTCTTCGTATACTCCTAAAAAGACATTGAAAAGAATATTTAAAAGGGAGAACATCTAAAAGGGCATCTAAAGCCATCTAAAAAGAACAGAGGAAGTGACTCCCAAGGTTGGCTTCCAAATTCGGAGCGGGATGACCAACTTTCCTTAAATTTGCACTTTTCAGTTCGAGTAAGATCACTTCTGCTACAATAATCCCCGTAGCCTCACACAGATAAATCAATGCCATCGAACCATCGAGTAAAGGCCATCGATAGATGCAACAAGAGTGCTTTTAGTGAATCACGGTATGTCCACAATATATGAAGAATCCCATTCGACTCCCAACCCCAACGCCAGAGATGTAAAAAGAATCAAGACAGGAAAAGGCCAGAGGCCATAACATAAGCGTGACAAGAAAAGAAAAGAGCACAAAAGAACCCGATAAAAACCAGGTCAATCAACGACCGCCTCTCATTTCGCACGAGCAGGGTTCGACCGCTTCTCATTCGAGCGTTGCTTACGCTCATTACGCTTAATGCGTTCCTTGCGCTCGGTCCGCGAGATACCGCGAATGTTACCGCCCTCAGCATTGGCCTCAGCCTCCTTCTTCCACTTCTTCTCATCAACCTCAACAAGCCATTGGTTCTCGTCGTCCTTGTTCTTGCCCTTGTAACCCCAGCGTGGTACCCACTCGCCGGAAGCCTCGTCGTAGGTGAGCTTCTTGCGGCGCTCCTTGTCCTGGCCAGCAGCACCGGGCTTCTGGCTGAACTTGCCGATACCCTTCTTGCGGGCGAACAACTCCCATTTCGTGGGTGCCTTGGGGACGGGAAGCGGCTTGTGGCGAGGGAGGTGGATATTAGGCTCTGGCAGGGTGAGAAGCACGCCGTCAGAGACGGAGGTCTTGATCTCGCAGGTTGTCAGGAGCTGGTTGAGGAGGACCTGGACGCCATCACGGGCTGTGGCTTTCAGCGAGTCGTTCAGTTTCTGGTCCGCGGGGAGCTCCAGGGGATTGGGGTCGTTGACGAGCAGGTGGCCCAGGTCGAATGTGTAGGGAGTGGGCTTTGAGACGGTGATGGGCCTTGATTGAGATGTTAGTTTCTATATTTTTCTTCATTTTCTTTTTTTGGTCGTGTATCCGGTTCGGGAAGAGGGATTCTTACAGTCTCTCGGTCTTGGAACCAGCCGCAGGCGCGGAGTTGGCCATCTCGGTATCAGACATAGCGATACTAGTAAGTATTGGTAGACTGTTGATATTCAAAGGTTGGTATCAGCCCGAAGAAAAAAAAAGTTGGTTATCAGATACAGCCGCTTCTACTTTTCTGCCATGACTAAGGCATCCCGACCGCCTTTCCTTTCTCAGGGCGGGCGGATTTCGCATCAAATTATTGACCGAAGTGTTAACTGCTGTTGTTTTCTCAACTCAATTCCCACCCACCTCTCCATCTCAGCACGGGTTGTCCCCTCACTGGCCGCGCCGGTGTTTCTGACAACAATGGCCTCCTCATGGTGCTGGAATTGCCTATCGAGGCTTCGCCCGACACCGCGAGCACTACTCCCGCCGTCCGCAACGCCCCGGATTTCGAGCGCCCCCTTCCACTCCACCGCCGTGCACTATGCCCAGCCGGCCAAGAAGAAGGGAAACAGCTTGACTGTAGTGAAGCACAGACAGTCAACCAGCTTGAGAAGGAAGAAGAAGAAGGTTGCTGATCGCGGCGGCCGTCCCCCGGCCGTGGGTGAGCGCAAGGCCTTGCGGAAACGCATTGTCCTGAGCAACCCTAATGCCCTTGAGATTGAGGGTATGCTGGAGCTGTCTCCGGAGACTATGGTGGACTCCCGTCTCCGTGGTACCGTTCTGGGGTTGCCTGTACCGATGATCGATCAATTGAGAGCAGTGCAAGCCTTCAAGCCTAAGCAAGGCTGGTCGATATTCCGCCGACCTGGAACGGTCCTCCGACGTGATACCATTGAGATGGGTCGTTTGTTTGAGCATATCTCCGGGGAGGGCGATGAGGCCCAGAAGGGCAAGGTTGTCAAGAAAATTGTTACCGGTATGAAGGGGTCTGGCAAGACCGTGCACCTGCTGCAGGCTATGGCCATGGGTTTCTTGAAGAAGTGGGCTGTGGTCACTATTCCCGATGGTAAGTGTGACTATCTGCCGGTGTGTATTTCAACTTTGCAACTACTGACCTGTCAATCTTGCAGCCCGAGAGCTTGTGTCCGGTGACACCGCCTACGCCGCCATTGAAGGTAGCAACCCGCTGCAGTATGTCCAGCCTAGTGCGACCTCGGCTTTGTTGACTCGCACTGTCGAGGCCAACCGGGAACTCCTCGCTAGCCTGAAGGTCTCCCAGAAGCACCCGGCTCTGAAGATGCTGAAGCCTTCCTCCACCCTCGAAGACCTCGCCAAGCTTGGCTTCAATGATCCTGCCGTCTCCTGGCGCGTATTCCAGGCTCTTTGGACCGAGCTTACTGCTACTGCCCCTGCTGAAGGATTGGAGAAGGACTTCAAGCCCCGTCCTCCTATGCTTGTTGCCGTGGACGGTCTGGCCCATTGGATGACCGAGAGTGCCTACCGCTCCGCGGAATATAAGCCAATTCACGCCCACGACCTCGCCTTCGTCCACCACTTCCTCTCATTGCTGAAGGAAGGCGATTCCCTGAAGAACGGCGGTCTCCTTCTTTACGCCACCTCATTCTCGAACAACCCCAACCCCACGGCTCTCAAAATTGCCCTGGACCGCCTGGCCGCCCGCCAGGCCGGTATCAGCGCCTCATCGCCGGAATACCCGCAACTACCAGCCTACAGCGATGCTGATCCTCGCGTCCTGGAGCTGTTCCAGCCCGCAGAGAAGGCTGTCAGCCCACTCGAGTTGCAGACACTGGGCGGTCTAACTCGCGATGAGGCTCGTGGTTTCATGGAGTACTTTGCTCGCAGCGGCTTGCTGCGTGAGATCATCAATGACCAGTGGGTGAGCGAGAAGTGGAGCTTGTCTGGCGGCGGTATCATCGGCGAACTGGAGAAGTTCGGCCGCCGTGTTCGCGCCACTGCTTCCGTCTCGAAATAAGGGTTCCATCTTGCATTTCTTTCTCTTGTCTTATCCCCGGCTTTCAAATTTGTCTTTCACGTTTACTACTGTATATCGGATCCTGGGGTTTTCCTTGTGTGTTCTTTGCCCATGTATTTTACAAATCTCACTTGGTCCGCTTGTGTCTGTATGCATATAATGGATTTGTTTTTGGAAAAGTTTTATATCCTTTTATTTGGCATTTCATGATTGTGTCATTGGGTTGGTCTCTTCCACGACTAATGAAATACTAATCCAAAGAGCACCATTCAGGGCTCGACTTTGAATCCAATGCCCTCAAGCATCCAACTTCTTCGGCCTAGGCCCACGCACCAAATCAGGATAATCAAACTTACCCCCAATATTCAAAACCGAATTCCCCGGATGCGCCTCCTTAACCACATCATCCCCCCGGAATAAAAAGTTCATCGGGAACCCAATATCAAACTCATAAGCCGCTTCAATCTCCGTCAGATCCTCGTCCGACAAATCAACCCCAAGCCCCTCAATATTACTCAACAAATGCTCAACCTTCCGCCCACCCACAATCGGCACCACATACGGCGCCTTGCGCATCACATACGCCAACGCAACGCTGGTCAACGCAGTCCCATGTCGCTCTGCCACAACCTCCAACACTCTCGACACAGCAATGTCCCGTTCAGTGACTGGATTCTGTCGTCCAGGATTCCCGCTCTGCACGATCTCTTCCCGCTGCGCGGTTGTTTTGAATGCGCCGCTGCCGAGTGAGCCCCAGGGTGCGAGGCCCATGCCTTCGGATGCGGCCATGGGGATTATGTCCCGCTCAAAATCGCGTGTTGCCGCGTTCCATTTGCCTTGATACACAGAGAAGGGGCGGAGACCGTGATCGCGTGCGTCTGTGATTTTGGTTAATGACTTGAATGGGGGTAGCGGTGTGGTATAGCTATCTGTAAAAGTAAAACTTACATTGGTTCGCCTTGGCTACGATCCACGCTGGTGTATCACTGATACCCAAGTAAAGCACCTTCCCGGATAAGACTAGCTGGTTGAGTGAGGTCATTACCTCCTCGATGGAAGTGCTGAAATCCCACCAGTGGACATAGAGCTATTTATTCGGAGGGTATTTGTTAGCAAGAATATCCGGAGAAGTAAGCCCAAAGAAGCGGGCAGCCACAGCCACGTACCAGATCAATATAATCCGTCTTCAATTTCTTCAAACTTGCATCAACAGACAGCTTCAAGCTCTTGGCATTATTGCCGATGAAGTTGGCTTGAATCTCAGACTGGTTGTGTATACGGTAGGGCGAGGTATACTTTGTCGCGAGGACGATTTGGTCGCGCACGCCGCGGACTTCCATCCACTCGCCGAGCCATTTTTCGGATTCTTCCGCTTGGTAGTTATTTGCTCTTTGGTGTTTGTTAGTGGCTGGGCTCAGTGGGGAATATTATAAGAGTGACTGATTGATGCTATACATACGTATCGATGAAATTGCCTCCATTCTCATAGTATGTATCCAGAATCTGGAAAGAGGTCTCTTTGTTGCATTCCCCAAGACGGTCTTTCCTATTTCGGTGTTAGTTACTCTATAATTGACATTTGGGATATCCATTGATATGTATTTATAAGTAGGTATTTCACGTACCAGCCATCACCGAAGTTCATGGCACCTAGGCATAGTGGGCTCACCTTAACACCAGCGGTGGGTGCCAACAGGCGGTAGCGGCCGAGGTAGGACTTGGGGGTGGGAGCTCGGGAAAACATGGTCAGAATTGAGGATTGAAGCTGATTTGGTGTAAAAATGAGGATTGGGAGGATGTAGAAGGGGGCTTTTATAGCACACCATATGCGGGGTTAAATGTGTTAATAATCTATGTAGGATAGATGTCTCCAAGCTGTGATATGTAGTTAGTATATGTACATGTAGTATGACCTCTTTAACTCCTAAGTCCGGCCAAATCTGGGTTTGGGGACAGTTCAGGGTTAACTCCGTTGGGGTACAGTATATGCGACATTTTTACTTATTCACATATTCAAGTAAATAGAGTCGTTAGTTCTTGTTATATTAAAGCTCAGAATCCGCAATACAGGGCCGGGCCATCCCCAGCCCCATCCCTAGCCGTAACATCCTCGGTCTCATTATCGTTAGCCTCACCATCATTGGCCTCATCCCCATAATGCGCCCCCCTCATCCTCCTTCTCATCGTCCTCCTGGGATTCCGGGTCATCGATATCGTAATATTGGTCGTATATATCATCCACAATCTCCCGATACTCTTTCATATATTCATCAAGCTCAGAATCGTCCTCTCCGAGAACACCACGCCAATTTTCCTGCTTTGGAGGAATCATCACAGGCCCTGGTGTCCAATCAACAGCCCCATCGTCCTGAACAGCCTCACTACCGGACACGGATTTGGCCTTTCCATTATCAACAGGAGGAACAAGCCCTCTGCCTTGGCATCTGGGACACCCGCAATTCTTTCCAAACAACTGCACGGCATGGATATTGAGTTCGACATCTTCACCGACAGCATCAGCGATCCTATAACGTTGATACGGAATTCTAATCTCTTCTCCAGCTTTGATATCTTTGTTCGCCCAGATGACTACGCGGTTGGGGACCTTTTTGTCGTATCCCCACAGTGCGTTTTCAAAAGGGCGACAGGAATGATTGAACATGCTTAATCCAGGGAAGAGGTAGAAGTTCCCAAATGATGGCTCCATTGCCGAGAGGTCTTCAAGTCTGTCTTTCATTCTAGACTGTAGGGTTGGGTGTAGCACCGGCTTGGGACCATCCCAGTCATTGAATGTTGGGTTTGCATCTCGCCGTACATGTTCCCAGGGCACAGCATTGACCAGCAACTTCCGTAGCACGGTCTGAATAATCCAAGTGTCGAATGAAAGGTCGCTGAAGATATCCACTCCAAGATTGAAGAGGATATCGAAAGGTATCTGGATATTACCAGCCAGAGTAAAAGGGAACCAGCTCTCTCTCCACGGCTCGTTCGTGTCAGTACCTGCCTCAAGAATGAGGAGTTCGTTAATTTCATGCGCGAGAAGATTAGGGTCCTCTTGGCGGCGGTGGAGCGTGAGTTCGAGCACGCTCTTCAAGAGTAGACTCAAAACGGTCCCGTGGCGTTCATTTGTGTGAGTGAAATACTGCGATCCCCCCCACGCCACTTTATTAGGTCGCATTGCGTCGTGCAACCAGCCCCAATCTAGGCCACAGAATTCTTGGAAATGGTATGTCTCGCGCGCAATAGCCAAGCAATGGGGAGCCACGCCGTCTGATATTACATTGTTGGAAGAACAGAATAGCAGAGCGCCCCTCGTAGCTCTGAAGTATCCGACATCCGCACATTTACACATCATGTCAAGACACGCACAAGTAGGCGGGTGTCCCCATCCCGGAAGGGGTGCCAGATTATGAATGGAGTCCCAGTTGTCCCCGATATGCCGAACCTCGTCTGGGTCAATCGCCGTTTGACAGTTGTCACATCGTGGGGCGTGGAGGGGCTCTTCGCTTTCATCATCAAGGAGCCTGTTGGGTATGAGATTTCCGCGAATAACGGGTTCCTCGTAGTGAATCAGGGTTCCTGCTTTGATGTTTGCAGTGGCGAAGACTCCCAACCCATTGAAGGAATTGTCCTTTGTGAGTGTTGGTTGTACCTGACATGTCCGTTTGGAAGACGTCCCGACACTAGCATTAACTGTGAAAATGTTTGCATTAAATGCATTGATGAAATGTGGTGCTTCGCGTCTCACGTCCGCTTGGTCGTATGGATATTTATCGGCGCCTGAGATCCATCCTCGGCTCCATTCATGCCCATAAAGGGATGGATGAAGCGCCGAGGGATTCTCTCCTGTGTTCGATCTCCGCTCTCACGGGGGCGCTCACTGTCATCCGCTTTTTGGGGACTGATACGTCGCGGTATGGTAGTGGTCTTTGGAGTTGACCCTGCATGTGGTCGTCGAAATCATCCCAACAATTCAGTGCTGCAAGGCTAAGACTAGTGATACTGTGAAGGGCGTTTCTCAGAGTTGGAATGAAATAGTTGATACCATTTACCTTCCTCATTTGCAGAACTTCCCTTGTCATTGGGACTCCTTTGATCTTCAATTCTACCATCAAGTGCTGCTGAATGGCGTCCCAAACTCTGGTATACATCCCAGGGCGTTTGTTCCTTTGGGTTGCTGTCGTCAACACTTCGCAGAGAAGTTCTCCGCGATAGGCGTCTCCAATGGCGAGATCAAAATGGCCCAGCAGATAATGGCAGTACGCGCGGCTGTTCCAGTAAGTTGGGTTGTATGGGCTCAGTTTAATTGCTGCAGTGTACATTTCAAGTGCAGACATATCTGTTCTCGTAGCAGGGCTCATTACAGGCCTTGGCTCACGATGAATACCCCAGTGACTCAGGTTGCTTTGTCTCGAGACCCCAAAGCGCTCATCACATTCGTATTCCCATAGACGACGTTGAAGGTCTATTTTTCTCCCGTCTGTGCTTAAACCCCTTGATGTCAGTTCGTCTGTGAGTGCATCTTTCGTCCAAAGATCCGGGTCTCTGACGTTGAGGCCGTGTATGAATACTTTTTGTTCCATTGCGTCTAGCCCCTGCACGCCATTATAGGTCTCGTCCAAGCCCTCCGCTGTGAATCTGACTCGTGCATCCTCGCGAGAAATAGGCAGAAGTGGATTGCTCATCAGGTGCTCATAGACATTGTGAGCCAACGCATGCATTACCGATCGTTTTTCTTCGGTTGCTCGTGTATAAGGTCGATGGGGATGTGCCTTCCATGCACGTCCGAGGGACTCATCGGGCTGCTGCCAAAATCGGCGGGCAAGAAATGCGTCGTCTTCGGTCAACGCTGGGGCTAGTGGCGCTCGATTAAAGAGATCTGGCCGCTTTGGAAACGGGGGTGGGTGGACGATGTCTCCACCTGGGTAGACTTCGTATAGTCGTTGCCTCGGATCCATCTTGGTATCTTGCTGTATCAAGCAATGGAAAACAGTTGTAAGGATGGCTATATGAAGGAAAGAGTATGCCAGGTCTCGGGATTTCGGTTTCCTCAGATCTCATGAGACTGAGAGGCCGACACGGACCCATGGGGTTGGCATGAGAGTATAAATGTTAAATTAGCTCACATACTTGTCGTAGGCCACGACTGAAAGAAATCCGACTGAAAGAAATCCGCATAGCAAAGATTCCCGGAGGACAAAGAAAGGATAAGATCATGGTGGTTTATTTTTGGAGATGAACGCAGTTGACTTGAGTTATAGTTCAACAAAGAACAGCGAAAAACATGCGTAATTTCCAAATGAACTTGCTTCTACGACAATGAAAGCCAGCAGATAGATCCCTTGGCTAACTTCCTATCAACACTAATATGCAATGAGCAGAGAGATCGGGACCGTCGGAGGTTCTTGAAATCCACTCTACCTTTCAGTGGGAAACAGCCTTGGGGTATAGAAGAATGGCAAAACAAAGGATGAAACGCGAACCATGGCCTATGGAATTTGCTCGAAGGCTTGCAATGCTAAACCTTGGATCAGCCTTCGATGCATCGGTACCAGTACATACATGTATATATATGCCCAACGGGTACGGAGTAGTACGTTGTATGTTGTAGTTGGGAAGTTGCACTGGGAGTCTCGTGGGGGTGAACCGTGCTGACCCAACCCCCAACATAGTTGGAGCCTGGAGGAATCCTTCGACACTTTTGAACTGGACTTTTAAAAGATTCCCATGTCTTTCTAAACTCCCTAAAGTGATCCGATTCATCTTACTATGCACGGACAGTCGAATCGTCCCGATCCCCCCCCACAGCCAGAATGGCGACTCCCTCCGCGTCTCCCCGCGCAGGCGTCGCAGCCAGGACCTCCTCCTCCCCCCCTCCTCCACGCCCCCCAGTTGCTCAATATTCACCAGCTGCTCCATATTCGCCGGCCACATATGGACCGATTTCAAATCCACAGAGACTACCATCACCGAGTGGTGCGGATACAACCACGTGGGGAGTGCGGTTCAACCAGAGCTCTGGTCCCCCGTTGCCGGCAAGTTCGACGTTGGAATGTCAAATATAAACAACTAACAGTTGCATAGCCCCGACCTTCAAGTACTAATGAGCAACGATATGCCTATGGGCAATCTCAGCCGCATCCATCTGTCGCAACTCCTTTTCACGGCACGCAAACCCCTCCGCCCCCACCTCCATATACACCAACAACACCCGGTGTTCCACAACCGCCCCCAAAGATCCCACAAGGCACGCAACATGTACCAACCCTGCAATGCGATCAGGTGGGGCGACCTCCACTGCTCGCACAAGGTGCAGGACCGGCTGCGATGACTGGATCCTACGAATTCCGTCCTGCGCCTATCCTCAATACAAATACTACACCTGTCGGCGCATCGGCTCTTGGCCCTGGAACACCATCGGATTGGGAGCACCTTGGACCAACCCCTGGACACTTCGATGACGCAGCGTGGTTCCCACCTCGCAGAACGCCCCCTCTGCATCACGAAGGGTTTCAACCACCATCAAGCCTCCCGGTCGATGTTCCCAATGCGTTTGTGGGAAGCGAGTCTGACATGCTCGCTCGCCCGAGAACAGATACAAATGAGACGCTTTCAAGTACCATCTCTGGTGCGACACAGTCGGGACGCGTTAGCTCAAATTCACCCGTCAGTCCATGCACGACACATGGAATACCAACACCGCCTCCAATGGTTCGCGTGGACACCACCAACTCTGCCTTGTCTACGGGTGGACGCTCAGAAAGCATCGACAATGTAATAGATGCATGGGTCCGTCCATTATCGCCTGCACATAAACCCGTTCAACCGGAAAATCAGGGCCAGCCTGGCGCATTCTATCACAATAGCCCAGTAGAGCGCTCACAATCAGCGCAAACCAGCTCGTCTTACTTCGACCACATGCGATCAAACTCAAATAACCCTGCCCGAATGGTCGAAGGACCCAGAAGGGCGGCTACGCCGAAAAGCCAAGACCCCTTCGAAGATCTGGACCCCTGGTCTAAATCATCGTTGGAAAGATACGTCGCCATGCTACGTAAGGAGGCAGTGGCCGACTTGGATGAAGAACGATATAAGATTTTCACGGCCTTCATGGCCAAAGAGACCAAGCTCCGGGAGATTCTTTATAATATTGAGCATGAGCCTGAAAGTAAACCGCTGACTCCGCGAGCTCCGGACCCTGCTCCACCTCAACCGCTATCTATTTCCAGCAAAAGCGAACCACCTGTTGAGTCTGGACTGATACCCGTTGCGTCAGAAGAAACCCCACCCCTCTCGGAGGCAACAGCGACAGGGGATGAAGATCTCGATGATGTTCGCAGTGAGTACAGCTCAGGCGGTCGGCCTCTGCTCGCTAAGCAAGCGCAACGAGTCTCGCAATTCGTTCCTAGTTTATCTACTGTGCTCTCGGGCACAGAATCCAGTCTCTCAAGACCCTTATCGCTCATATCGGCAGATACGCAGAAGCAAGCCTTGGAGCCCCTGACTACGAACCCCCCGCGGCCCATATACACGCCATTCCAGTATACGGAGGGTCCTCAGCGAGGCTCGGACAACCTCACTTTTGCTCGCCCGGCCTATCAAGCCTACTCCGATCTGCGGCAAGCTGCTGTCAGCGGGCGAGTCATGTCAAACGCGCCGACACCTACATCTCGATCGAGGTCAAACACTGCACTTGCTTTGGCTCAGAATGAAACCGATGAGACCTTCCTGGGCCTAATCCGTCACAAGAGCGTCGCTTATTCTAAACCGGCTGAGCAAAAATCTCCGCCGCTTCCATTGCTGCCAGAAACTCTCCGCCAAGGCCGACCGCAGGGCCTCGTGGAAGAGTTACGCACCATAGTATGGACACCCTTGGACAAACACTCTGAAAGCTCTTGCCACATCACGACTCGGGAAGAACTCGAAAAATTCCCTGATGACTTGTCATACATCGGACGGACCGTTGGTCAATGGGAAGAAACAGCGAGAGTTAGACGGCAAAGGCTGGAACAGGAGCGCGTGGCTCGTCAGGATGAATCTGAGCAGCACATCGATGATCTTTTCAATGGGAAAGAGATTGGGTATGCAGACATCAATACCTTGGAAGAAGACTTTCGGCAAACCGAGGCTCGGGTCCAATTAGAGGAGGAACGACACGAAGTAGACGATTTCATGACACATGTCTTCAACCCCTTAGACGAAGGCCTGAAAAATGAAATTTCGGCGCTTCGCAAGTCCTACGACTCTGCTCTCAGTCAACTCGACCGTGACCAACAGGGCAAAGGCTTACCAAGTGAGCGAGGCAGCCCATCCGTGACCATGAAAATGGTTAACGACATTCATAACAAGCTTGAGATCCGATTCCAGAAACGGCTTGAGATGGCCCTTGATTGTGAGCGACGACGGAAGAGGGCTGAGCGGCGACCACTTGTGGTCATGGGTGATATAGCTGGTCTGCAAAAGCTAGACGGAGAATTTGACCGGATGGAACGGCGAAACATTCTAGAAGCGTGCAAGGATCGTGATGACCGAGCCAACCGACTCATGGATTCATTCGACGACGCAATCCTGAACGGGCTAGGTATAAATCAGACCCTCCTAGACGAGGTTGCCTCGAAAGCAGCCCGGCTAGATACCGCCACCCTCCGAGCCTCTGGTCTACCGGATTCTGAGATTGAGCAGATTCTCAAATCTGCAGCAACCTTTGCTGCGTCCCTCCGAGCCGATTCGGAGGCCATCATCCGCAGCGCTGGGGTTGCGGATATGGCCCTAAACGACGCAGACTATGGAGTCTCCGTGGCCGAAGCGCGATATGCCAACTCAGATACGGATATTTTCCACCGGCTGGGGGATGAGAAGAAAAAAGAGGATGAGAAAATCCAGGATGAGCTGAATTCAAAGTTGCAGAGCATTCAAAAGGGGCCTTTGCAGATCGAGGCAACAATTCAACGCCTTCTCCATGGCTTACACAGTGACCCACAAGCCGCTGCCCCGGTATCTCCAGTCCAAGGCCCTTTCCCAACGAGCCCATCTGGTGAAGTGCCTCCTCTACCTCTAAGCCTTCGTCCTTCGACTACTAGCCCAGGTTCATCTGCTAGCCCAGCGCCCATGAGCCAAAGCACAGATGAAGACATAGAACATAAACAGAGGCTTCTCAGAGCGCTAGAGGCAGCCAAGCAGCGCAACGCTGCCAGGAGCCACCATTGACCGGGTTGGAAGCAGGCCGAACGGAACATCCATGACGCGACGAATTGCAACGAATTTCCTTGCGTTTCAATAATATACCCTTTTCTCTTTTGTCCTGTGCAGTTTTCCACTTTGTGTTTCTGCAACTACGTATTTTCCGAGTTGATACCCACTTTATGCAATCTACTAGTTAAATGAAGATTAGGCTAAATTGCCTATTTTGATCATTTTGTCTCGCACATTTAGATTACAGCCAATTCTTACTATGTGGGCCCTTATTCTTGTCTAATTTCTTCACAGTAATCCAGTTGATAAAATATTTTAAACAAGAGTGTATGGATTTCGAAGTTACGCCTAGTTCGAATCAAACCAAATTTGACGGAGTCTTTTTCCCGATGTTACAGGAAGATTCTTTTCTCTTAGCACTCTGATCTTCCAGGGTTGTCTTGTTAGCTATAAACATCAGCACCATAGTATTCTGTCTTAACTACCTCCAGAGTTCACTAGACGACTTTGATGATAAACCTGATGGTTGAAATCATACCTTTTTTCCCTTCCCAGAAGACCCGTAAGGCTCCGATACATTCTGAGGGTATGCTGATGTTGCTTTCCCATTCGCGCCACTGTGGCTGCGTCATGGGCAGGGGCCAAATTCAGTCAAGTGATTCTACGTGCAGGAAGGGGGAAAAACAGCGCACAGACGATATCTTCGAACCCTCAAGAACCATGCTTAAGGAAGTAAGCCATCACCTACGTCTTGTGTGAAACTGAC